TTTTTCTGAAGAAGGGTCTAGGCCCAAAACGTCAGTCTTCCTGCTCCTCTGATGCTGCTTGGCCTGCTGTGTTCATCCAGCTCTACACCTTTCCTGTCTACAAGCTCCTTGTTATTTTGCACACCTCAATTAAGTTGCCACTCAGTTTCCTCTTGTTCTAATGAAAAGAACCCTCTCCTATCTTTGCTCCATAGATGAAATTTTCAAGCCCAGGCAACATTCTTGTAAGTCACCACTACTCTGTCTATATTACTATGTCCTTCCTGTAATGTGACCAGAACTGTATATGAAACTCCAGCTGTGGCTAACTAATGACTTCTGTTCCTGCATTTGTATTCAGTACCTTGCACCATGAAGTAAAGCATCCATATGTCTTCTTTACCACTTTACATCAGTGTCATGCCACCATCAGGGACGTATGAACATGCGTTCCAAGGTCTCTATCTTCCTATATCCTGAACATGAACACTGAAGAAGGAGCGAAGCTCCAAAAGCTTGTGCTTTCAAATAAACCTGCTGGACTATATCCTGGTGTCGTGTGATTTCTGACCTTGTCCACTCCAATACATTTTCAACATCTCCACATCATTCCTCTATCCCTCTCCGTACTCTCCAATTCCCTTTCTTTGTTGGATCTCCCCAAGTGCACAATCTTGCATTTCTCTGGATTGAATTCCACTTGCCATTTTTCTGCCTACTTCAACCAATTCAGTGACACATTATTGCAGTCAACAGCCAACATTTTCATAATTTTGCTATAGACACTTTTTGTGTATTTTTTTCAAATTGCCCAAAAATGCCATCTACATTCAAGACTAAATCATTAATATATGTCACAAATGTCAAGTAACCCAACCCTAAGCGCTGTGGAACGCACTGGAAAGTGTTTTCCATTTACAAAAACATCTGTTGACGATTACTCTTTTTTTTCTTGCCACTTAGCCAACTTTGGATCCAGCTTGCCACGTTCCTTGGTGTCCTAGTCTGACACGTGGGACCTTGTCAAATACCTTACCAAAATCCATGTAGAGAACATCCACTGCACTTTCCTTATCAATTCTCCCTCAAAAATTTCAATTAAGCTAACTGAGCTACTGTCATGTAATTCTGCCAGCCAATCCAGTTGGTTTGAGCTATAGCCATTGCTAGGCCTACAGGCAGTTATGAAGAGGAGGAACAAATGGAGCTAAGTTTGGGATTTTGGCAGGGTCTGACTGGCTAGACACCCCAGTGATGAAAGTGGTGGGGCAAGTGTAAAAGGGCAGAGCATGACCTTCGGGAAAGATGGGGGAATGCCTCTGGTGGGCACAGGGGGCACTCAAAGGAGGCACCCAAGTCCCATAAGTACCTCAGCTGATCCAAGACCAAGCAAGCATCCAAATGCCTCCTCCAGATTCCCCCACCTCGTAAAATAAGAGACAGGGCCAATCAACAGAGTGGGTGGCAAATAAGCTGCACGTTGCATTTCATAAGTTCCACCTTCAAACTTACTAGTGGGTGAAACAGTAAAATTCCCCTTGGGGCAGTAGTGTTTCAGTGAACATACAGTGCAAAGAACAAGGATGTCTGTGGCAGAACTGACTCCAAGCAGATATCTCATGTTGAGCCCTTTTATTGAGCAAAGGAGGGTTTTTTAAAAAAAAAACTACCTCCCAAAACCCACTCCATCTTGTCTATATACAATTGTGCTTGTAAATGCCACAAAGAATTAGGCCTTCTTGGAAAAACACAGAAACTTGGTGAAATTGAATACTGAATCAGTACTGTGATTTGGGAAGTACAAAAGTACGCACCTTGCAAGCCAGATGAAAATTCCACCCTTCGCGTTCCTTTAGATGTTTCCTCAGCTTCAGTCCATGTTCAGTGTACTTGGTGATTCATTACAATTATTTACTGTGGAACTTTTCATCCTAAGTAAGAGATGAAGGTGTATTTTGTGAAGATTTACTGGATATATTCTAACAAAACCATACAGCAGGTCTGGAATGCCATCCAAGCTGATTCTATTGCACGCACTTATGGTTGAAGCAGAAGTACATGTTTCCAACAGCCACAAGTTCTGTCTTAACAAGAATATTTATAAACTTGCCGGACTTGTTGTGACTTCATTGGTGTTTTATGTGTTTGTTTCAGCATCTTTCCTGCTCTATCAGATATTTGTAGTTTCTTCTAATACTGAACAATTCGTTTTCGTAAAATGATTCAGACTTGTATAGTTTCTCTGGTAACAATATTTGCTGGTATTCCTGATATATATCACTGTGCATTTGTGAATAACTTGTACTTCAGTCTCCCAAACTTGATGTGTGATGACTCCTTCACAATTTTTTTTAATGTGTACGGATTACAGCATTCATCTAAAATTCTGTTCTGACAATTGAATGAAATAAAAACGGAGGTTTAGATCTTAATTTTTTTTTTAAGAAACAAATTCTATCTAAAACCTTAACCCCAGTTGTTTCTTAATGTTAAGATAAACCAAAGTGTTTGAAGCTGAGGCCTATTCTTTGCAAGTAGCCATGCTTTAGGCTAACAGCAGCAAAATTCTCTGATCAAATATTTATGTATTTATTTATTTGTTGGAGGGAAATTAGCTTTTTTTCAGTATGTGCATCATGCAGTGCAGCATGCCATTGTGAGATACTCCTATTTGGGAACCAGTGCTTGTTGGCATTACTTGCTGGTAGACCTAGAGAAGGCAAATGAAATTTGCACAGTTTGGAGATGCAAGATGTGATTTCGTGTTTTTCTCTTTGCCCTAATCTGTTCCCCCCTCCCACAAGTTTGTGGTTTTAACAAATTAGTCTTTATACAGCATAAAGTGATATTTAAATATGCATTCTTAGCCTATAAACCTGTAAAGTCCTTCTCACAAACATTTGGGAACTTTTGCCAAAAATTACAAGAGCTGTCACACAGACTATTTGAGCAACAGTCTGAGGTTGTCTTATTCAATGATTCATCCCTTACTCCTGATATCCCATATTTCTCCTTCACCATTCCAGGTAGGTCTTACCACATCACCAAGATATACTAATCCGAGATGGCTACACAGAGATATATAGTCAGGAAGAAATGGTTCTGGAAGTCCTTAATATTGACTTGGGATGCAATAAAGTGAGGCCAAATACAGGAAAGAAAAGCTCCTGATAATACCATTTGTAGTTTTCCTTTAACTGATTAATCAGTATTCCACGTGGAACACCACTTGGAGGAAGCACGGAGGGCAATAAGACTTGAATTATAGCTTACAGCATATCTACTGACCAAATTCACCAAGTCCTGAAGGATATAGCTGCCAGACTGGGCCGGCAACAGATGGTTAGGCAACACAAGCAGCAAAAACCTACTTGACTTTGTTCTTAACAGTTGTCCATCCTTAACTGCCCAGAGAGTAATGAGTTTTTCCCAACATCAGTGATTTCATGGCCATTATTGGACTCTTAATCCCAGATGTTTTAAATTGAATTTAAATTCCACCGTCTGCTATAGAGGGATTCAAACCTGGGTTCCTATAACAACTTTTGGGTCACTGGACTAATAGTCTCGTGATAATAACACAAGGCCATCACTTCCTCTTCAGCTGCTTCATCAATAACCTTCCTTCTATCATTAGACTGGGTGTGGAGACATTCACTGATGACTGCACATGGGTCAATTGTGGCAAAGACGGCGGAGGGTGGGGGGGTTGTGGGGGGAAGGGGTCAGGGTGGTCTTCACCTCTTAATTTCAGTGTTAGACCTTACTGTCACTGTGTAAATTTTGGGATACCAAATACAGATTGGATGATTACTTTCTGACCATCCTCGAGTGTGACCCTGAACTCTAGTTATTCACCACATTAATTCTCTGTACCTTTCCACTCTGAATGTCTGCTCTCAGCCTCCTATGCCTTTCCAGTCAAGCTCAGAGAAAGCTTCACAGCTTCTCATTGGCACATTAGAACCATATAGACTCAATATAGGGTTCAATAATTTCAGATCATAATTATTGCTCCTATTCTTTTGTATTGCAGGAGTGGCAATTATTCTGCAATTCCCATTGGCCCTTCTTATTTCTTGACCAATTCCTATCTCTTTTCAATTTGCAACAATTATGCCTTTTATTATTTTGATCATTCCAACCTTCCTTCCCATCACAAACTTTTCTGTTTGTTCCTTTATTCCCTCCTTCACTACTTCTGAACTTACTTAAAACTTGTTACATCCATAACATCTTCCAATTTTGACAAAAGTTCACTAACCTGAAACATTAACTGTGTTCTTGTCTCCACAGGCCCTGCCAAATCTGAGAAATATTTATGGCATTTACCGTTTGTATTGTATATTTAAGTAACAGATTTGTCTATCATACTGATTTAACTAAATATAAATAACAGACTGATTCTTGACCAAGCGATTTTTGCATGTGTGAGGTGTTGAACCTTTAATATCCTAAAGACTGCTTTAAGCATATTAAATCTCATGGAAATTATTGTTCATATTTATAATCTGTTCACTGGTCTTCATAGAAGAATGTTTAATGATGTATGTTTGTGTTTTTCAGGGTAACACCTGTTTGGTGCCTATCGATGACCCAGAAGCTCCTGGTGACTCAGAGCCCAAAGTTAAAATAAATACTGTGACCAGTTCTCTCTCCGTGCAGGAGTACTTTGCCAAAAGGATGGCACAACTTAAAGCAGGGCATGAAATCCATCAAGCTTGTGCTACTCAGGACCTTACGGGAGATGATATGAGTTCAATTAAAGAAGCAAAAAAGAAGAGGAAAAAATGTGGCAGAAGAGATGCCAGCGGGGCTTGCAACTTTGACAAACAGCCCATACTGACAAAGCAAGCCAAAAATGAAGAGTGTGTGGAAATAAACAATGATCTGATAGAACATAGTCCAGTTAAGGAAAATTGCCAAACTAAAAAGTCTAAAAAAAATAGTGCAAAATATTTGGTGTTATTCGATCAGAAAATGTGTCCTTTAGGAGAAGTTGAATCAGAGGAGATTCCAGTTGAACAGCACCGAACAGTCAGTGAGTCGTCAGAGAAGCAAAATGAGCAGGTATGGAGAGAGGATAAGAACAAACAGAAGAAGATTAAAAAGCTGCCATATGCAAGTCATGATGAGATTTCTCAATCCTGTCATGAATCAACAGAAAGAAGGAAGAAGAAAAAAAAGAAACAGAAGCATTGAGGCTTGCAGAAACTGTTATGCATATTTCGTATTGAAAACCATCCAAATGAATTATGCAACAAGATAAAATGGTCTTAATGCAACTGCTGTTCTTAGCTAAGCTTAGGCAGCAAGTTTGATAGTGGCAAATGGAATGGTTAAAGCAAAGTGTTTAAAATCAAGTTACAACATCTTCTTTTAAATGCATAAAATAAAATTTGTAAACATATTTTGGATATGAAGAACTGACCATCCATTCATTCATTCACAGTTTGCAATTTCAGGATCAGCTACCTTTTCTGACTATTGTTCTACATTTTTAGCCCTGAATTAAGTGCATATGCTTTTGAAACAGGAGGAGACCTTTGGGCCGAACAAGCCCCTCCCAGCTAAATTTGGTTTAATAAAAACCAAATGAACTGCGAATGCTGTAAAGCGGGAACCAAAACAGAAGTTGCTGGAAAAGTTCTGAGGAAGGGTCACCAGACCCAAAACGTTAACTGATTTTTTTCTTCTCAGATGCTGCTAGACCTGCTGAGCTTTTCCAGCAATTTCTGTTTTTGTTCCTAAATTTGGCTTAAAATTCACTGTTTCATTTTTTTTTAATTCATTCGTGGTATGCAGGCTGTGCTGGCTGGCCGAGCATTTATTGCCCATTCCCCAGCTGCCCTTGCGAAAGTGATGGTCAGCTGCCTACTTGAACTGCAGCAGTGTAGGTGTACCCACAGTGTCATTACGGAGGTATTCCAGGGCTTTAACTCAGCCATGCTGAAGGAACAGTGATATAACCAGGATGGTGAATGGCTTGGAGGGGATCCTGCAGGTGGTGGTGTTCCCATAGGTTTTGGAAGGTGCTGACCTAAGGAGCATTGGTGAGTTTCTGCAGTGCCTCTTGTAAATGGTACACAATGAAAATCAGTGGTGGAGGGAGTGAATGTTTGTGAATATGGTGCCAATCAAGCACACTTCTTTTTTTCTGGATGATGTCAATTTTCTTGAGTGTTGGAGCCAGGTGAGTGGGGATTATTCCATCTACTTCTAACTTGTGCTTTTTGAACCAGCTTTGGGTGTCAGGAGGAGAGTTACTCACTGCAGATTTCCTAACCTTTGACCTGCTCTTGTAGCCACAGTATTTATATGCTATTCCATTTCAGCATTGGACAATGGTAACCCCTAGAATATTGATAATGAGGGAATTTAGTGATGGTAATGCCACTGAATATCATGGGTGATTTAGATTCTCTCATGTTGGAAATAGTCACTGACTGGCACTTGTTGCGAATGTCACTTACCACTTGTCAGCCCAAACCTGGGTATTGTCTAGGTTTTGCTGCATTTAGGCATAATACTATATAAGTGTAATTTCTTCTTTTCACAAACGCGCATTTGCCTTTTAAATAATAAACATATTGTCAGGCATTCTCTCAGAATCTTTTCTGCCTGAAATACAAAGCAGAAACTCTGCTGCCACTATTTTCTGACCCATTGCTTTAAATGACATTTAAATTTCCAAATTGTATTCCAACATATGAAGCTCCTAGATGAGACCACAAAGTTAGTAAATGATCCATTATATTTATTAATTTCAGCGATCTCTCCAGTAACTTAATCTAGTTATACTATTTATTTTAAATATTTTACTCCTTCTTCCTTTTCAAAAATGTTTTGTTCATCTGTTTATGCCCAAATAATATTGAAGTTAATATAATGTCTGTATTTGAAGAAGTGAAACCAAACTTATAGTGATGGCAGCAGTACAAAAATATTTTTAATAATGCCCTGTTTAATTTTTACATGAGGATATTTCAGTGATTCCTAAGTTGACGGATAAGTAAAGTTGGTCGGAGAATTAGATTTTCTCTGGGGTACAGGCTGAAGATCTCTGACTGTGAACCCATTTTTAGGCTTGAACAACATTGTGATCCATCGTTGAGCAGTGGCAAAAGTTGGGAAGGAGAAGACCTATGATATTAGAGGGTTGGAGGAGTCATCCATTGCTGCCTCAGGGCATTCAAACCCAAACTTTCTGTTTGAGTCCTGACTTGGGGCCCTGACCATCACTTTGCAAAGCCCTGACCTGACAGAATTCACAATACAACAACATAAAAGACCCACAATGGTTGGAAGGCCTAATTGCAACATATCAGTTGTGCACAGGAAGGATATATAAATGTGCACATGGAAATTTTTAACGGTAAAAAGATGGCACCAGTATGTGAAATAACATAACTGGCGATGTGGTATTGTGGGCAGGCAATGTGTGCAAATGGAAAAGTTTTGATTGTCCACATTTTATAGTCACCTTTAAAGGGCTGATAATAATGCCTAATTCTGAAAAAGTTATCCATAAAGTTATATTGTATCTGTTGTGTTCATTTCCCTAAACTACTTCATCTAGAGGGAAGTCTTTGACGTCCAGTGACAGTGAAGCAGACTGATGAATTAATCAGTTTCCAGTTTGACTTGGAAATATATCACTGTCACAGGGTCAAAATCCTGGAATTCCCTTCCCAAAGGCATTGTGGGTCTACCCACAGCACATGGACTGCAGCCATTCAAAAAGGCAGCTCACCACCACCACCTTCTCAAGGGCAACTAGTGATAGGCAGTAAATGCTGGCCAGCCAGCAACGCCCACGAGAGAATAAAAAAAAGTTGGAGGATTTCTCACAGCAAACCAGCAAGGAAAAAAGACAAACAATATGGTGTGGATACTGGAAATCAGAAATAAAAACAAAAATTCTAGAAATACTCTGCTGGCTGCAGCCAGGGAAATGAATGTAAACTTTTCAGGTTGGAAGTTCTGGTTATCATATACTTTTAAATTGTTCTCCAAATGACCATAAGACATAGCAGCAGAAATTAGGCCATTCAGTCCATCGAGTCTGCTCCACCATTCAATAATGGCTGATAAGTTTCTCAACCCCATTGTCCTGCTTTCTCCTCGTAACCCTTGATCTCCTTGACAATCAAGAACCTAACTATCTATGTCTTTAAATATACTCCATGACCTGGCCTCCACAGCATTCTGTGGCAGTGAATTCCATAGTTTCACCATTCTCTGGCTAAAGACGTTTCTCCTTATCTTTGTTCTAAAAGGTCTTCCCTTTACTCTAAGGCTGTGCCCTCGGGTCCTAGTTTCTCCTACCAATGGAAACATCTTCCCAACATCCACTCTCTTCAGGCCATTCAGTATTCTCTAAGTTTCATTTGGATCCCCCCTCAGTCTTCTAAACTCCATCAAGTATAGACCCAGAGTCCTCAAACGTTTCTCATATGTTAAGTTTTTCATTCCTGGGACCATTCTCATGAATCTCCTCTGAACCTGCTCCTGGGCCAGTACATCTTTCCTGGGATATGGGGCCTAAAACTGCGCACAATACTCCAAATGTGGCCTGTCCAGAGCCTTATAGAGCCTCAGAAGTACATTCCTGCTTTTATATTCAAGTCCTCTCAAAATAAATAAATGCATGGGATTAAGACAGAAGCTGAAATTGAAAGCAAAGTTTTAAACAAGTATTTTGTATTATTTTAAAAATCTATAGAATTACCAATGATTAGAGTCACTGAAACTCCAAACTTCTAAAATTAGATTTTTCAAGGCCACAGAGGTTCTTTATTACTGATGATGTAGGGCGCTATTTAAATTACGTCTCCCTCAACGATACTTTTTCAGTGAGAACAAAGAGTAAAAAGTTAAACGTTCATGTTGAATCACTGAGTATGTTGCTTGTATCTGTGAAAACTGCAATAGCACACTCTGCAGAATAACACAATCGCTGACAGCCATTTCTGCATTTCACTGTATATGTACAGATGTTGAAATTTTCTGTCAGATTTGTGCAATGATGGTAGTGAATGCTGACTTGTTGTTACTGTCACAAATTCCAGGCCAAAGTAGATGTGTTTATGAAAAATGAGGCAGCCCCTCATAATGGATCATGTGTTGCTTTGCTTGCTCCTAATTTATGCAAAGTGGTAAATGAATAACCATTGTCAAAATCTTTGAAAGAGCTTGCAAGTTTCTGGGTTGGTGGTTTGCACCCTCTGTCAACTTGATGATCAATTGGAAATCCCATCTGACATTAATCCAATGCAGATCAGGAGCACTTAGATTCAATCCATGGAATCTGCGCAGGTAGCTGTTCTCATTTCAGAAGTTATATTCAAGAACACAGATACACCAAAATGACATGAAACAACCTTCACACTGACCTTTGTCTTCCTCAGTTGTGTTTCTCCAATTGTTTTCTCAAGAGATTTCACTGATATAACATGAACTACTTTGAAGAAAGAAATATTCTAACCTCAGTCTTGTATAAGTCTTCCAGATTTTGTATTGTTACTTGTGTTTGATGATGACATTGAGGACAAGCTTTCTGTCTTGTTCAGAGGTATATTTATTTGCTAGCCAATCAGGGTGCTAAGGTTTTGGAGTAGATTTGTAGCTCAGGTTGTGGGTGTAGAGGTTGGTTGGCTCACCGAGCTAGTTTGCTGTTCCGCAGACGTTTTGTTACCGTGCTTGGTAACATCCTCAGTGCAGCCTCTGATGAAGTGTCCATGTGTTTTCCCGCCTGGCTTTTAAACTCTGGGGTCTGTTGTGATGGATTGCCTCACTTCCGGGTTTCCTCCATAGTGGAATGTATATGGGGTCGAGTTCAATGTGTTTATTAATAGCCTGCTTCGTGGAGTGCCATGCTTCCAGGAATTCTCGTGCTTGTCTCTGCCTAGCCTGTCCCAGGATCTTGGTGTTTTCCCAGTCGAAGTCGTGGTTTTCCTTGTCCATGTGGATTGAGATGAGTGAGTATTGGTCATGCCTTTTTGTAGCCAGTTGGTGTTCATGTACTCTTGTTGTTAGTTTCCTTCCTGTTTGTCCGATGTAGTGTTTCTCGCATCTCTGCAGGGGATCTTCTAGATGACATTGGTCCTGTCCATGGCGGGGAGTGGGTCTTTAGTTCGGGTGAGCACTTGTCGTACGCTTCATCAGAGACTGCACTGAGGATGTTACCAAGCATGGTAACGAAACGTCTGCGGAACAACAAAACCAGCTCGGCGAGCCAACTAACCTCAACAATCAGGGTGCTACTTACCAAAATTTAACATAGAAATTTCCAAAAATAAATATTATACCTTGGATACAATCTCCACTGGCCAGACAGTTGTTATTCCAGCAGATGAGGATCCTGAGGAACCTTTACTGAAAAGACCAAATGCTGGAGATCACAGTGGG